TTGAAAATGGCCATAGAAATAGTGGATTTACCCATAAAATTAGAGCTGGTGATTTTCCATAGTTACGTTAGTTTACCACAGGGTATCACTTATCCATGAATCATTCATCACTCATACATTCGGGATCATTCGGGCAAACCCTAAAACTCATAAAATCCTACTAAAATCATACAGCGCTTTCAGACATGGTGGAAACTGGAAACATATCTATGTTTTTCTAATATCCTCAGTTCCACCAATGTAATGATATAGATGTCTTTGTTTCCTTATTTTCTAATATCCTCATTTGTTTTCTAATAGTGGATATTCGAAACTAAGGAGATTAGAAACTAAGGATATTAGAAACTAAGGATATTAGAAACAAAGGCTATTAGAAACTAAGGATATTAGAAACATTTTTTCTAATGTCTAATATCCTCCATTTTTATCGTGAAGTTCTGGTAACCCATCGCCGCTTTGCACCGCCCTCTGGACAGTCCAGGATGATGAGCCAGGGCGTATCCACTGACATGGAACGGACCACCTTGGGAGCTCCTGCGATGATACGATGTGCGTCCCACGTACCCACGTATAATCCATATATAACGCATCTATATATATATGTCCATATATGAGTGTGGATATTCATTGATATTCCATATGTGTATATATATATATATATGGGGGTACCCATTTACTAAGTGGGATGCACCCCCAAGTAGTGGATCAAACATCCATTTCAAATGGATCCATTTTCAGAGAAATCCGTTTCAAATGGATCAAACATAGAAACTGAATAAAACTGATGATTTTTGTTGATGTCTTATCACCGAATACTGTCGACTTAATGGCACACTATGGTCCAAAAATTAAGCAACAAAATGATCTTTGGGCCTGTCTGAGAATGGGGTAGATCCTAAATTCACGGCCATTGTACTGTGGAAAATGAGGTGGGGTATAATTTCGAAACTATACATTTATCTGAAGAAGAACGTTGATCTCACCAAGCGAGATTTGTACACGGAATCTGTATATATGATTATATATGTATAGATGCGGAGAGAGATATCACTTTGAGACTTTATCCCACTGGCAGTGTTTGATTAAACAACGTATAATTTAATGTAATTTCTTTTGGGGGTGTGTGAAAACAGCTTTTTTCTTTGGTTTTGCTTGTGATCAACTACATCTGGAGTGGCTAATCCTCGACAAATGATGAGATGCTGGATTCTGGGAGCTCAACAAAACTGGAGTTACTAGCCATTTACTGAGCTGTTCGACGAATTGGTCTCGCACTCTTCTCCATTGCTTACCCAGGTCGAAGAATGGCAAACTGATTTACAAGCAAACTGATTTACAAGTGGCGATTGGCAATACATTGTATGGCGTTGTGTACATTGTATGGCGTTGTGTCTGAATTTCGCTTTGAGTGGTGTGGTTTGCCACATTTCATATGGACCAAGCATCAATCAAAAAGGGGTAATAAACCCAAGCAACATGGTAGAATAACGTAACCCTGAAAGTGCAATTACTCATTTACCCACCACTTTTTGCAGTGAAAATTCACAACTGACCCAGGGGTAAAATGAGTCATTGGGATTTTTCGGGTAATAAAACCTAGAGAAACCTGGAATGCGTAGTTGTTTAGTAGTGATTAGTCCTGCATTTCGATATGTTTAGGTGTAAATGGTGATATATACCGCCAGGACAAAAGTTTTTCCCTCTTGGGCTTTCCAACACCCTTTCCCCACTGACTCCTACCATAGAAGTTTCTACTTAGGAAGTTTCTACTTGGGTCGCGGACCGCGGATCACATTCGTAACCCTTAAAGAACATTAAATTGAAACGATTTAAAGCGACCAGTAAGTTCGATCCACCACGCAGGCCACGCGAAATGGCCCTCGGAATGAGATACACATTTGCTTTGTTGTGAAACAACGGACGGGGAAAAAAAAATCGTCCTAGTGAAGTATACTGTGGTAAATCAACGGTCATAAATCATCCCCAAAATCATCGTTTTTCCTGGATCCTATAAACCATCCCAAATGGTAGGTGTTTATCATTGGGTTTCCAACATAAACCGGATACACATTCGTATAGATCAATTAAACAATCAAACCATTGGATCTGGACTAAATCCCTGAGTTCCTGATGCCCTAGGGCATCTAAGTGGATACAAAGGATTTTAAAGGCACACAGAAGTGTTCCTCAGTTTTCTTATATACATATTCCCACATCATTTCAAGGGCACCGGGTGAAACATGGAGGTCTGAGAGGTGCCATGGAAATTCGCGAATTTCTCTGAAACTTAATGCCAACCGTCAGTTACCTGCCATAATTGGACGTCATCGTAGTCATCGTTCTCCTATGATAACTTGAAAAACAATCATATCTCACATCATTTAAGCCAATACACCCTCTGGTAATTTTCAACTATTTCTATGGCAATTTTCACTAGCTATGTTAGTTTACCAGAGGGTATTTGATGACCCAACATCCTAGACCCAACAACATTAGCCAATATATTTGATGTATTTTGCACTGACATAAACCGAGGCTTCCTGTCCGGCTCCGCGTCCTCGCGCGCTGGACACCTCGCTGCGGTCGGTCTTGGACACCTTCTCCACCTGCGCGTCCGCTGTAGGACGTTGAACAGTGGTTGCTGCCTCCTATAGGACTTGAATGCTATATTATCTTAGAATATATATATATAATTATATATATAATATATACACAGTATATATAATATATATAGCACTTAAATGTTTGAGACACTGTTCTAAACATTGTTTAAGTTTCTCATTTTCAACTGCTCTAATAGGCCCGCTGATATCCAGACCAGCTGATTCCACGAACGAGGTAGCCACCAAATCAAAGTGGTTGTTTCATGCACAAAGCATACAATGAAAATGATATCGATTGAACACAACAAAAATAAACAACATGATGATAAAAATAACACATGACGATGTGGTGATGATGATGATGATGATGATGATGATGAGGAGGAGAAGGAGGAGGAGGAGGGGACGACAATGATGGTGATGATATCATGATGTTGATGAGAACAATGACTCTTGTCATTGTGATGATAGTAATAACAATGATGATAGTGATAATAGTGAAAATAGTGATGATAGTGGTGATGACGATGATGATGATGATGATGATGATGGAATGATGGGGTGCATTTCAAATAAATCTGGCAACATATGATCAAACACATGTTCACCAACTTTGATAACATTGATGATAACAACAACGATACTGACAACATATGTTGTTACATGATGACTATTCAAAACAACGACGCTAATGGCAAACCACAATATATCGCTTATAATTTATAATCATTACTTCTTATCCACATCATTACCATGTTTGTCCTTGAAATGTGTTGTCCGCACATCTGCACCGCAGAAATTTCTCCAACTGCAAAGCCAGGGGCTGTTTCAAGTCCGCACACGGCGCGAATGGTGGCTGAAGCCTTGGTTTAAAAATGGTGGAAATCCCTGGAATTCCGGAAAGGTCAAAGCATCAGAAATGGTGGCTGAACACATGGTTCAACCATCGATGGGATGATGAAATTGGGATGATTTGTGAATATTGGGGTGCGTATCATGGTAGCTTATGATATGCGAGGATTGATTTGTAGCAACCATTCATAGATTCAGTAAAATTGAGAACCGTTGGAAACTTGTAAGTATGAGGTCAACATCATCGAACTACCATTCTGGAAACACTGAAATCGGCATCCTTTTGGTGGTTTCAGTACACAAACGAATCTGTCCACCAATTATTTTCTGGAAACGTCTGTGTGTTAGGGAATTGAGGAGTCAAATTGAAGACCTCATCACATGGTGTTACGTCTAAAATCATCTGTATGGTTCCAAAGTGCTCGCACGGGTGGTTCCAAACAAACTATTATTGGGGATCATCATCATCATCGTCGTCGTCGTCGTCATCAATTCATCATCACCATCACCATCACGATCACCATCACCATCACCATCATCATCATCATAATCCTCATCTTATGTCTTATGTTTGCTATGTTTGAATCCAAACAATTGCAAACAGGACTTCGGATTTGCCATGCTTCAACCTTTGGTTTGCGTCTGAAATGATAGGAACACCCTCTACTCAGCTGGCAACATGAGATTTCCTCTACATCATCCCTGAAACATCCAGTGAATATGTCATAGCCGTCGCTAAATCCTGCAGAATCCCCGATTCCGCTTGGCTAAAACCACCTTGCAGCTGCTCCCCACCCACCAGATCCGAGGAACGGAATTGTTTTGCCGCGCCACCAGGAATTGAATCTCCTCTGGGTGGCTGAATTATCAATGAATCGAACATATATGGTTGTGTGTCTTCAAATGGGCTATACCCCCACAATTTTGTGGTTATCAGGTATAATTAATGATGATTTACCGATTTACCTACTTGTTTTCACAAACCAAAAGTCGAAAGCACCGATGATTGAGAATCAATGATTTGCCCTATGCCCAATTGGACGATGTCTGTTGGCTAAGACCCCGCGCCCTGCGACCAAAACAGATCGAAACCTAACTCTTATGCCTGGTTGGTGGTTTCAACCCCCCTGAAAAATATTAGTCAGGTTGGATCATTGGACCATCATCCCAACTATTGGGGAAAATAATCCAAATGTTCCAAACCACCAAACAGATACCGTTGCTGAAACTCACTATTGATGCTGAAACACAAAAATGACTGTTACAGCCTCCAACTTAGAGTTGCTTTGCTGTCTGTCTTTCCGTCGCAAACATAAGCACAATTTAGCAAAACCTCGCAAAATGGTCGACAGAGGACTCACAATTTTCATTCCTTTCCGGATGGTCAGTCCGTATTTCCAAGCGAGCAGTATCCCAGCAACCCATTCATGCTGATTGGTTGGCAGGGATTCCCATAATGGATGATGATAATCTCCATAATACATCAAAATACTGGGAAGTATAGCCCCTGTAACAACCAACCAACTGGGGCTTTGAGCACTGCTCAAATGAAGATTATCTTCCCACTTCTGCGTTCCTATCTTGGTTTAAAATATCGGTCTTCCCTCGTCCTTCTCAGCGAAATGACAATTTCTTTCGCAACAACATTTAACATCTTTGTTTGTTTCAAGAAGCCTCTTTTGGTTGGCTACTATCCACCACTTTGACTGCTCAAACCTCCTGTTTTGCTTTGCTCAAAACATTCATGTTTGCTCCTCACCAAGCTCTGCCTAGTGACAAATGTCAACTCAATTCCAAAAGATCATTAGTATGTTTCCCGTTTAAAAGGGCAACTCCAGTGTGTACATGGATGGATGGATGGATGGATGGAGGGAGGGAGGTAATCAGGTAGGTAGGTAGGTAGATAGGTAGGTAGGTAGGAAGGTAGGTAGGTAGGTAAGTATGCATGTATGCATGCATGCATATCTGTATGTCTGTATCTCTGTATGTCTGTATGTCTGCCTGTTTGTATGTCTGTATGTATGTACGTGGGTAGGAAGGTAGGTATGTATGGTATGCATGGTATGCATGGTGTGTATTGTATGTATGATATGAATGATATGAATGGTATGTATGGTATGTATGGTATGTATGGTATGTACGGTATGTATGATATGTATAGTATGTAAGGCATGTATGTATGTATCTCTCTATCTCTCTATCTCTCTATCTCTCTATCTATCTATGTATGCTATGTATCTGTGTATCTATGATATGTATCGTTGCATCTATGTCTGTATGTATCTATGTATGAATGTATGTATGAACGTATGAATGTATGAATCTATAAATGTATGAATGCATGCATGTATGTATGTACGTGTGTATATATATATATATAACTTGCTTGTTCTTTTTCTCAGCCAGAAAACAAACAAACACATTGTCATTTGGGTATGGCTCAAACATGGGGTACGAATTGGCATGCACCCCCCAAATTTTTGGATTTATAGCAACACCCAAGAGATAGACAGCTTAAATTCCTGAACAACATAGTGGTAATTTGTTTGCCAAGTTGCTTTATACGTAGGTTAACTACGATATATGGTGCACATATCTATGGTTAATGGGATGAACCTAAACCACCAAATCGAATTTGGTGAACACAAACCAACTCTAAATCCTGTTTCCCGCTTAAATTCCCCCATGGTTGCTCCTAAAAAATGACCGTTTCCAACGAGGGATCGCCAAAAAATAGTCCAAGCTGCACCGGTCTTGGCCCACTTCTCAGCGATTGGCTTTACCTTCTCCATGATCTCGGATTGGTTGGCAATGGGAACACCTCAGTTGCTGCAGGAATGCCTCAGTGTTTTTTTGTTTTCCTGAAGTTGAACTACCTATAATATATATATATATATTTATACACAATGCAATATATTACAATATATTATAATATATTATAATATATTATAATATAATATATATATATAATATAATACAATACAATACAATATAATATAATATACAGTAATATAATATGTATATATAATATACCCATTGGTTTTTTGACCCCAAAATAAGGTCTACTGTACCGGCTTTCATGCAGATTTTAAGTTCAATCCGGGAATCTATCTGAAAAAAAAACTTCAAGGAAAACACTACAGAACACGTAAAATGAGGCAGGGTGGTTATTCACATATCCGCTAGAAACAACAGAGTCACAGGGCGTGATCTCCCCAGGAAAGGGTACCCTCCAACCATCCCAGCTCCAATGAGTCCTTACAATGTCTTTCCCATGTCTCGAAAAAGATGTGTATACACTAAGTATAGTATGTATATATATATATCATATATCGTATCAATGTATCATATCTATACATATATATATATATGGGTAATTTATAATATTTCACTAACCTGAATTAAGGCCATTTTGGGATGATTCCCCTTACTAACTATGATTATAGTGAGGTCGCAGTGAGGTCGCAGTGAGGTCGTTATAATTTACCCATATATATATATATATTACCTATAAATCCATGTTTGCTGTGCCTTCGACTCCCCATATTCTTGAAATCGTCAACAACCATGAAAGCTATTAATTTCAACACCCCCCCCAAATGATTCAAAACCGTGGAATAATGACGCGACAAGAAACTTTCAAGCATCAAACACATGGTGGGCTTGTCGTTGATATCCTGGACGGGGTGATGCTCGAGGGATAGTATCATGACATCACATGTAGGGAATGGGTTGAAAGCCTGATCATGACCCAAACGTAAATACGAATAAATTTGTCTGGCTGAAGTATAGTACTCTAAGCTGAAAATAGCTGAAACAAGTAATGTGGTTAAAACAATGCCATAAAGCATCTCCCAAATCACCACAAATAGGCGGTATTCCCAGTCGAATGGGTGGTAAACATGGCATTGTTTTAACATGTTTTAACCACATTAGGCCATTGATTCCTCGAATTCAATTCCATTCAATTCCAGAGAAAAGTCACCGTTGGTGAAGTCATTCATCCACCTCCACAGATCATCCCAGTGAATGTTAAAAGAAGATATGTGAAACCACCAACCAGAGCATCATTGGCTATATACCGATTGTACTACTCGTTAATTAATGTTAATTACATGGGAAGTTTTTGCCCAATTAATTCATATGAAAATTCTGTGCTGAACAAATCCTGATTTCATTCAATAAGGGTCAGGGTCGCGAAACTAGACTTCAGCAAAGTGAGCAGGGTTCAAAATCCTCTGTCATTCCGCCATACTGGCTACCGAATAGGATGTCCCAGAAAATTCCAGATATGGATTGTGTTAACCACCTATATTTACCAACCATCATTACTTACAACTATCCGATTCTATCCCCAAATATCTTGATGGTTTTCAAAGCCCTGCACAGTGGTGCCCCATAGTTGGCACAGTTGGTGCTCCAATAACTCCAATAACCTGGGTTTATGATATATTATATATACATATGTATATATATATATATATGTACACACCTTAAGCATGAAAAAAAGTTTTTTTTGAGAAACCCTATTTTTTTCCAGGTTTTGTATGTATATATCTATATCATTCTATATCTCTATATATATATATATCATTGTGGGTTATAAACCAATCCTATAATTGGAGGGCACCACCATGACTCCCATGACTTTATCATCAGCCAACTGTGGTTTTTTCTTCGCACCTGCTCTCCAGGGTCGTCCAGTTCTTGCAATGCGGAGGGTGCCCAGGGAAAATCACCTCGCGCTGCCCCGGTTACGACTTACTTGAGGCGACCCCTGGACCCTCCATCTAAGAGCCCAGTTGATGGAAACTCATGGCAAAAAACAACATCTAACAGTTGTTAAATCCCATGTGCTGTTAGTGAATTGATGGGAAAATCCTAGTAGTTGATGGAAGAAACAACCACTAGCCTCTAGTAAATTAACATAGACCCAAGCAGATAGAGGTTGGAAGATTAGCTTCCACCAAAAATGGGTTATGTTCAGGGTCGAGCTCTTAAATGCGATTAATTTACAAGGGGGTAACAGTTGTCATTTTTTGGGGGGAAGCTTCTTGTTTTGGGGTAATTACCAATGTGTTTGTTTGTTTGTTGGGAGAAATACCCGTACTTTTGTTCCCAAAATTTCTTGACTCATTCTTGACATTGTTGGATTTCGCTTGCAATCTTCCGTTTCGGTCAGTCGGTGCAAACATGTCAGATTTTCCGGCATCTGAGAAGCAATATGTCTGGCTAAATTAGCAGAGGAAATGGGGATAGAACAACGTCTTGAATCGGGAAGGGTCAAAGAGACCAGGAATTATGGAGCCAAAGATTCCTTTCAGTATGCCAGTAAGCGCCCTTGGCTGGTCCTTTTGTACCTCTCAGTTGACATCAGTGAATCATGTTGAGACCTCGCCTATGCATTTATCATCATTTATCATACCATAGCCTTTACACAATTTTCAGTCGTAAAAACGGGTCATTTGTATGAGTCAAAACTCTGGTATCCTTCTGTTGCCATCCAAATTTATGACCAGAATATTAATGGAAGATCGCGTGATGGTCATTTACTGTAACATTTTTGGCAACTAAACTTGTTTAATTCTGACCCTTATCCAACTGGGATATGTGGATTTGTTTGAAAATAGGGCACCCCAAAACTTGATGATTGACCATTTGTCTCACTACGATATATTGAAATGGCCAGCCAAGGCTGGTAACTTTTCATTAAACACCAGTTTCATTCACACACATCATACGTATCAATTGTCTATCATCATTCTCCATGCCTTAAATCCCTGCGATTTTCCCGAACAACATGACCAGACCCGAGATTTTCAGCGGATGATCCCATTGATCAATGGCTGCCCCAATTACTAACCACTTATAGCTATCATAAATCAACTGTATCTCTCATGAATTCCCCATTTCTCGCGGTTCAATGCCAATTTTCTGGTTCCGAACCAATCTAAGCACCAAATCTGAAGTGATCCTCCATCCCCCGTAGATTCCTACAGAGCCATGAGCCTTTGAGTACGATCTCACCAGCTGAGGCACTGAAAGGAATTGCAGGCATAGAGAGGTGCTGGTTCACCAGCGCCCGGCCACCCTTGCAGACCACGTTGCCATCAGGATCCACGATCCTCACATGGGACTCTTGACATATTAAGAACATTTAAGAACAGAACATAGGGGGTTTTAATGTTTTATCTTTTTTTTTCTGAAAAATAGGGTATCCCTAATTCCAAATAATTCAAATGGATGAATTGATCATTATCCCTTGAAAATTCCTTTAAAATGGCAATTTGAAGGGTATACCGACAATTTTCAGACAAAGCCACATAGGGAATTAATGAACCAATTCCTATTTTTTTCGGTGCAAGAAGGTCAAGAGTGGTTCTACAACAAGCCATCTTGGGGTTTAAGAACCACAACATAGCTTTTCTAGGTTTAACATGGTTTAACACGTCGCAGAATTTCGGAGAAATTGATTGGAGTTGCAACTCTTGAGACACATTTGAAAGCGTTATCTTATCATGTTCTCCAGACATGGCTCCAAGATCTTGCGTACCTTGCAGCAACAACAACATGATGTGCTGGAAATCCTTGCGAAAACGCCTATATTTGTTTCTGTGGTCCAGCAATTTGACCATTGCCGAGTGGCAGGAAGGTTGGAATGCCACTCACCTGCAGCACAATGCGCGATTTCCCAACCATAGAATCATATATCATAGAGGGTAGAAGCTGGGCAGGGCTTCCCTGGGAGATTCCATTTGCCTAAATCATGACCAGTAGTCTTTGGGTGGTTACAATCCATCCCTAAATCTTAGCTCCAAAAAAACGCGTGTTATAGTCTCGAGACTCAGCATGACCATCTAGTGAATCTACTGTACTGTGGTAAACCCAATGTCTTGAACCATCCCCAAAATCTCTAGTTTTATGGGTGCAACAAAAGCCATCCCCTGATAGATTTGTTCTTCAGTTTACCGCACAGCCATTTCCCAACCTTAAAGAGCCCATCCAGGTCATCCTTTTTTTCAAAGGGAAGCGCCAACCAATCTCCTCGGGGCGGGCCATGCTTCCTTTGCCACCAGAGACTCTGAATTTGTCGACTCGTGAGATTCATTGAAGTTGTTGCGCGAAAAACTACGGGATGGGTCAACACCTTTTTTGCCCCTTCGGTTCACATCAAAACCATTCAAAACCTCTGGTAGTTTTGGAGCTTCATCCCCAGAAAGCTCTGGATCCATAGCCAGATTGGACAGAGACCTCCATGAACAACACCCAGGCAATGCTGGATTGGGCCGATTTTTTAATGGACCAACATATATGGAAACATACGGGGGTTTCCTAAATTGGGGGTACCCAAAAGATCCCCCGTGGTACCGCTCAAAAGGGTCCAGTCCTGGAAAAAAATGCCTTAAACCGTTTGGTCCACAACCTTTTGGAATTGATTTCCAAAGGGTACAACCCAACGGATTTAAGCCAACAACCAAGTTGCAATTTCCCGGGCAAACAAATTAAAATCCTGTTCCACAACCTTTATGTGGACTAACATTTCTCCTGGTCCACCATTGCGCTGACACAACTCTTTTCCTGGGTCATAACCTTTATGATGATACATGTGTATCTACCCCATTCAGATCGTCAAGTCGATTGAATTGGAAGATCACGACCTTTCAAAAACTGCTGAGGGTTTGGCATAAACACTTTTCTTGTCATATCATTCAAATCCTGGGTCACAGGGTTTCCACCGGCTCCATCATTTTTTTGCTCGCATGCTGTCAAGATCTTTCAAGACGGGGAGATGGAGGACACTAGGCTTTGGAGGTCCAGAACCTAGAAAAAAATCGGTCTAAAATGATGACCCCTAACCTTTGAGAGAGGTTTTAGAGCTTTAAATTCCTGGCTCCTAACCTCTGAAGCCGAAATCTCACTTCCAACCACCTTTTTGAATTTTCTTTGCTAATTTCGTGGTGCCCAACGTCCAACATCCAATAAATTTACCCCTCTCATATCCAAGTAAAAAAAATATTTCCTGGATGCTTGCGTTGGTAACATGCCATATCTTCCCCCCCTCAATCTGATACGGAAAAAAATGAATTCCTGGCACCTGACTTCCCGGCTGACAGCTCGCAGTTTTTCAGAGTCCACGGCTTCACGAGTGCGGTCCGGCAGATGCCCACGGCAATGCGCAACCCTTTTGCATGGACAAATGTATCTTCAGGAAAAAACGACTGTTTTGCAATTTGGCCACACGTTGGAACAAAATTCTTGAATTCGTCCCATCATGTCCTATCTGTGGATGATTGGCCTGGAGATGCGATTTTTTTCCTGTGGGGCCAACCTTTGAAGATCATCCGCAAGTATTCAGTCAAAAAAGGTCCAGCCCCTTGAATTTTATTTTTGACACGTGCGCCTCGGCCTCTTCAAGTCACTTTTTTGGTTGGTGAAGGTGAACATATGTGTTTGTACCCTTTTGCAAGGACAAATGCAATTTCAGCAAAAAACATATGTTTTGTAATTTGGGCGCGCGTTGACACAAAATTCTTGAATTCGTCCCATCATGTCCTATCAGTGGATGATTGGCTTGGTGATGCGACTTTTTTCCTGTGGGGCCAACCTTTGAAGATCATCCGCAAGTATTCAGTCAAAAAAGGTCCAGCCCCTTGGATTTTATTTTTGACCCCTGCGCCTTGGCCTCTTGAAGTCACTTTTTTGGTTGGTGAAGGTGAACATATGTGTTTGTACCCTTTTGCAAAGTCATGTAAAGAATCATACCCCCTCAATTAATCATGGTACATTTTTTCCCTGGGGTTTGACATTTAGATATGTTCTAATAAACTCCCATTTGATCCATCCACCTTCAAATTCCTGGCTACTAACCTTGGGAATTCTACAAACTTACCCATTATCAGAGTCATTCATGATTGATTTCCTGATGCCTTACATACACAGACTGATAGATTAACCCCCCCTCAATCACAACAGACAGAAATTGATTTCCTGTCACTGTACGTCAGGAAGCTTTCAGGAAAAAAACTGGGCCTTTTTTGGTATGATATTTTATTCCTGGCCCCATATCATGCCCCGGGACCTTCACCCACTGTCTGCTAGATTTTTGGAAAATAGTGTTTTTTAAAAAGCGTACTGAACCCCCAGGAAAAAAAACTGGTAGTACAGAGGAGGATATTGTTGAAGAAAACCATACGGAGTTCATAACTGTTCATAATTAAAATCCAGTGAAGCTATCGGATTCAACCTTTTTACAAACCACTGAAATGCATTGAAAAGTAAGATCACAACCTTTATGTAGATCCTACCTTCTCCTGTTCGGCAGATTGGCCCAGAGATTTTTTTCCTGTACCCCAACCTTGTTTGGAAAACCATGCAATCCTGGCAGGCAAATCACCAAAACATATAAAATCCTGTGGTACAACCTTATGTTACTAATCCTGCTTTCCTGGCTCCAACATTTGTTTTCCTGAACCCCAACCTTGCAACATCCATTTTGGGATGATTTTTACCTGACTTGGCATTTTTAATTTTCGAACTGGAGTCACAGGAAAAAAATTACCGGTACAACGGGGGATCCCAAAAGCTGGATGGTTTATAATGGAAAATCTAATGAAAATCTTATTTCAATGAATGATTTGGGGGTACCCCCATTTTAGGAAACCTCCATATGACGGTTTGCCAACATGTCTTTTCCTGGTTCGGTTGATAAATCGCAATTCCTTGCGTGCCGCTTCTTAATTGGTCGTTAAAACCATTGCTTACCTAAATAGTCTGAAACCCTGCATTTGATCTTTCATGTTTGAAGCCGTAGCTAAAACCTGCAGTAAATGCTAGCGCGCGTCTATATAAAGTGGGTGCCGCTGCTAGTTATTCGTGGGTGCTGCTGCTAGTTTTTAGTGGTGGAACTGGAATATCTGCAGGGCTTGTCGTTGCCTTTGCTGTCACTCTTGTTTTTTTTCAAACAAACAGGATAAACTATATTAAACTATGTTGTTGTTTTTCAAACAAACAGGATAAACTACAACTTCTCTGGTGGCGGCTGGGTCACGGGTCAACCAAAGCCGTTTTTTGAAACTTTTGCTAGCGCATTGCTAGCGGGGATAGCGGGTAAAATTACGTACAAATTTGCAACAGTGAGCCACAACCTCAAAAAATTGGGAAATTGTTGAGTAGCACAGAATTCACTAAGACATCCTTAGGTTTAAGGAGCTAAGTGTTACATCCTGACTGTTCTTCATGTTGAAATAACAAGCAGACGGACACACAAAACATATCCTTGAACATGGGTGTTGAAAAAAACTGGCGCAAACCTAGCGGGTTTGCTAGCGCTGCCTTGCAGAATTGGTGAATTTAGTTGCGTGCCGCCTCAAAACGAAGAGGAAAAAACACTAGGTCCACACTAATTATCAACAACTAGTACAAAATGCCTGTCAACTATTTTTGGCAAATGATCATATGGAAACATTGGAACTTCACACACAAAACGATGCTTTGAACACCAATCATGCTCGGTCTCAACAGGGGAAAAACATCTTTATATCGCCCCAATCAATCCGGGAATGACCCTCCCGTTCTATTGGAAAATGACCCACGTGTTTATTATAGGACACATCTATATATCATGGGTATTGGATGTATGTTCATGTGTTCTTTTTCCCAGTGGTGCCAACGTCTTATTGCCGCCCTCGGCCCATGATCGCCAAGCATCCTCCCTTGGACTTCTGCTCCTCATAATAGCCCTTCAAACTCTCGGCGTCACGGTCTCCGCTACAGAACACGATCTCGAACTTGTCGCCCATTTCTTTCCTCGGCAAAACAATAAGGCTATACAAAATCATCTTTCTTCAATGGCAAAATCACGTCTATTTCTGAGCAAGACTTCAAAATTTTCAATGCTCATTTTCAACAGCTGCGTAAAGAAAATTATAGAAACAAAAATGCCACAAGCCGCAAGCACATGTTTTTCAATGCCCATGACTTCAAGTGACCTTGACATATGTTCCGAAGCCAAGTTGCTTGACTGCAGCATACCACTTGGCCAATTCAGGAGTAAACTGTCGGCAAGGACCACACCAGTGAGCAGAAAAGTACCTGAGATTCCGCTGGAAAATGGTGGTCTAACCATGAACAAATGGTGGATTGACCATGTTTAACCATGAATGGAGGTTAATTTAAGTTGCTGGAAATGAAACTGATTCTATAGTTGATTTTAGGCGAGCCTATGTAAGCCACCAGTTTGAAGGGATATACGATATGATATAATGGTGATATAATACATGTTCCAAACATGTAGTGGAAATGTGCAACTTGTCCTTGTCAAAGTCGATCATGTCCTGCGGAGGCTTCCGTCAGCATTCCGCAACAAAGAAAGACACGTACATCATCGACATTCAAATCATATCAGGACATATCAGGACTAAGCGGGCTGGGCACCCATCAAAATTTCAAGAGCTTCAAGATCCTTCAAGAAGCGGAAAGGAAGGGAAAGGGAGTGCGCCCAACCCAGAAAACCATCCAGCTTCAAAGATGTGGATGCATTTTTTTTGAAAATAGATGAAAAGAGACTCATTTTGGTTGGTATCATTTCAAATTGTGCATATCAAATGACATATTTAAACGGTTAAATCAGGCCATAGCCGACCAAGCTGCAGGCCAATGTGTTTCCCTTCCTGGATGGGCGGCAGGGTCAGCAATACCGTATGAATGGATTATTGTAATCCCCAATCGATCGGTTAGTATTGGTTAGTATATTGGTTTCAACCAATCATCAACCAACCAATACTAACCAATACTAACCAATACTAACCAATACTAACCATATCTAACCATATCTAACCATATATTAGTATATTGGTGTTGAAAACTGTTGTCATTCCCGAACCAATCATCAACAGTTTTGAACACTGCTCAATTGATGGAAAAATTGACATGGCGATCCTACAACAACTTGGTTGCCAGTTCCACATACCCATCCCCATGCCAAAACATTAGTGATCAAAATAAATGTATCTGTATCTCACCAAACATGGTGGAGAAAAAAGACAAACACATTATGTTTATGAAACTCATATATATATATATACATATTGTATGTTTATGTTTGTATATTTCATTATATTTCTAGAACATTCCCATGTTTCTATTGGCTACCCTCCGGTACTGAAACATCTATAAATGGGTACTTTTCATTGCCATGTTTGATTGCCAGAGGGTACATCCTATTAATATCCTAATAAATATCCCATGAAACCTCCATTTATCCCATTCATATCCCATTAAGTCACTATAAAATCCCATCAAATCACTACAATGATCCCATCAAGGGCCATTATATCCGGTTATATCCATTTACAACCCATTATTTCCATTAGAATTCCCAATGTTTAATGGTTGATTGTCTAAATGAATCCAATGTTTAAAAAAGGGAAACGTTCCTTCGGAACCCGCAAAAACCCATGTTTTTTGCCCAGGATCAATGGCTTCTGCGCCCACGGTCTCGTTTCCCTTCATCAAACCTCCGCTGAGCACCTCCTTGGGGGCAGTTGTTTTCAGACCCCCATGGGTCTTGTCTTGCAATAGCGTACCTTTCAATAAATTTTCTGTTTTGGGGTATTCATTCTTATAATATGTATAATATGTATAATATGTATAATGTGTATAATGTGTATGTATGTACGTATGTATGTATGTATGTATGTATGTATGTATATACAATCTAATACACCGTGTTATACACCCCATTCCTGGACACACCCATAAGTATAATAATTGCCACTACTAGTAGTTTTGCTGCTTTATACAACGATGATGCATGTTTAATGTACCCCATGAAAAATGTTGGCGCCAAACCCCACGTTCGCCCACACCCAAACAATACCATATACTTGTCATTAGAGGATGAATGAAAACACTGGCTATACGCAGCGAGTTTGACTTTAGGTTTTTAGGATTTAGGTTCCAATTTAGGGTTTTGGTTTTTGGGCTTTTAGGGTTTTTGGGGTGTTAGCTTTTAGAAAAAAACGGCTAGCCTTACCCAAGGATTTGTGTCATCTAGATGAAACCCATCGTCGTGGCTGATTAATATACCAGTCTTCCCTTGGGTCTGCGACCCCCACGATAAGGCAACCCCATGATATTTCTCAATGTCGCAATGTCTATTCATTAATATCCTCATTTTTGAGGGTGAATATCCCACATTTAATGACTGATATGACTGATATCCATTCTTGATCACTAATATCCCCAATTATCCGCAATTATCCCCATCTCAATGTACTAATATCCACATGTACGATGGCTCATATCCTATTCATTCATCATATTCAATCGCTTATTCGTTCGCCCAATCTCCCACGTCAGCATCGCAGTCCTTGAAAGAGCGCGGCTTCCAAGGGAATTTTTCGCCTGTCGAGGTTCGGCTTTGCAGGCTTGGATGTGGGGAATGGGTTGATATAAAAGTATTAGATACATCCAAGTACTCTTCAGGCATCGTTAAACAGCGATGTCACATTCTAGGGTATATATGTAATATAATGTAATATAAAGCAATATAATGCAATATAATATAATACTAAAATATATATAAGAAAAACATATTATATTGTAATGTGATATAATCTATGATAATATGATATATATTATGATATAATAAACTAAAATATAATATGATAACATATTATCATGTAATATTCAAAATATGAAATAAAATGATCATTTAAACGAATATTTTAAAATAATATTTAAAACATATTTTTTAAATAATAAGATATAATATAATATAATAAAACATATAATATAATATAGTATAATTTAATATAATATAAAGATAGATATATATAGATATAATATAAAATAAAAAAATATAATATAATATAACACAATATAATATAATATAAAGATAGATATAGATATAGATATCATATAATATAATATAATAAAATAAAATATAATATAATATAAAGATAGATATAGATATAATATAATATAATAGAATATAATACATATTCATATTATAAAATATAATATAATAGAATAGAATATATATTGATATAAAATAACATAATATGATATGATATAATAAAATATAATATAATAAAATATAATATACATTCTGTTATAATACAATATATTATAATATAATATAAATACAATATACTATAATATTATAATATAACAGAATATATATTCATATAATATAATATAACATAATATAACATAATATAATATAATATAAATATAATACAATATAATATAAAATCATATAATATAAAATAATAAAATATAATATAATACAATATAATGTCACATATATATATATATATGTGTGTATAGGTATGTGTATACGTGTGTGTTGATGTCCTACTTTGTTACTGGTACATCAAAATCGGAGGTCAAAACCAAGTTCGCCAAATACACCTGACAATTTTCTGATGGAATTGAACGGCAACTTCTTAAGCAACAAAAATAGGACAGCAACAACAGTTGGCTTATTGATTGCAGTAGGCTTATTGATTGCAACAACAGTAGGCTTATTGATTGCTTATTGGTGCAATAAATTCATATCTATCGTAAACCAGCCTCGCGATTATGTTGGGTTCTTGGGTTGGCAGGGGGATGGAATGACAATTTTTTGGTCAGTCCAAAAAAGGTAGGATACCTGGTACCTCAAAACGGCCATGGAACGATGAAAACATGAAGGTCAACCATGAGATAAATAGGGAACAGCCTAAATGTCTGCACAAACCGTTGATATCGTTGTTCAAGTATCAAAGTGGTAGGTAGTCTTCTACTTTATGGTCAATCAAAAGCGTTTCGCCAAGAACGGGATGATTGGTATGAACATGTTCGCCAACACATGGTCGCCTCCTTTTCGCCCATCCCCAACTGGGTTGGAAAATCTGGAACCACTATGAACAAATAACTTTTTATGGTCCTGATTTTCTCCATGTTTCTGTTGGAAATACTTGGGTACCAGTCATGGACAATCCTCCACGAAGGTTGATCATTTCCGCACAGGAAATGATGATGCCGCCTGTAGGATCACGGCTGCATGCCATGCGTCCATCCTCCGTGATGACTGTGCCATCATTGGGGTCCAAGATGATCAACCTCAGCTGGTTGGTGGTTGACCTACCCCTCTGAAAAATGATGGAGTTCGTCAGTTGGGATGATGACATTCCCAATATATGGAAAAATAAAAGCCATGTTCACCAACCAGTCAGGGTTCTCAATGATTCTGACCTCTCAGAACTCTAACATTCCATGGGGATTCAGGGGCCACCAGTTTGGTGGGCCACCTCTTGGACGGCTGAATCTCCCAGAAAGTCATATAAATTACAGGTTCCTTATGGTTCTGAATCCACGCCTCCCACGCATGGTTCTTGCGAAAATCTGCAGGGATCTCCTGTATCTGGAGGTAAACGATCCAAATTTCCTCTATTGATTTGCCTTCACAAATCCATTGCATGCACGCATGTGTGAATGTCAAATCTACACAAGCGCGCATATGTATATATATATACATAAGTATCATACATTCAGTTTTTTTGCCAGGCGGTACAGTAGCGACCTTTGGAATCCTGGTCAATGTCAAACCACATGAATGAAATCATTTGTCTGGTTCCAGAGAGGTGTCGATTTTATCAATTATATAGATGATGTGTCACTGTGTAGTGTGAAATCAAAGTGTCCAGTGTCCAGCCCTCGTACTATGCCACAGCAAGTTGATTTGCGCAGGGGCTTGACATGCGTCCCACCCAACATTGGTTGGACGATGTTTTTTTCTCCGTTGGAAGACCATTTTCCAATGCGTTGCCCTCTGTTATTCCTCTGTTCATCGAACCTGGCAATGTACATTTAGATCAATTGAACAGTGGTTAGTTATTCCATTCTATTCTAAGGGTTAGTTAACGATTCTAAATCCTTTATCATCCATTTAGATCAATGGCAAGATCAAATGGAATGACCATTTAGATCAATTGCAAATCCTTTGTCATTCTATTCTACTGATTAGTTAACGATGCACTGTTTTCAATACGTAAGCCCATAATGCACACCAGCGTGAGATCATACTCCCCGATATATTGGACAGT